TCCTTGGAATAGGACATCATGGTAGAGAAGACATAGTCAGAGAAGGAGAAGACCATCAAAGAGATTGACTGACACAGAGATAGAGAACACTATAAAGGTGACACGAGGTAGAGTAGGGTTTTGATCTGTTCTACTTGGGGTGGCTATGAATAAGAGTCATCTTCAAAGGCAACTACCACCAGCCACCACCACTGCATGTACACTCACCTCTTTCCCTAGAATAGCTGAATATGTTTGTAAGCATGACTTGTTTCTTTCAGGCCCTGACTTATAATAGAAAGTTCTCTCCATCCCAGAGTGCTTCATAATAATCAGAATGTTAAAGTACAGAATTTGTACTCAATTTATAGTAAGGCAATCTTCTTTAAGACTGAGTTTTGAGTAAAGCTTTTGTTATTTTTGTTTTTATTTATCCTGTCAAACACATACCCCAATTTAGTTCCAAAGGATAATATCACATAACAGCAAAAGTGTCAGCTAGCTATGTGGATTTAGTACAGTCAGATTTCAGATCAACTTCTACTAATAATTAGTATGGTGACAATGATTCTCAAAAGATAACTTTGTCCAAGCTGTTACCAGTGGTATGACAGAGCCCCTCTTTGTTGACCTGATCATATCTTGTATTTGGAGGACAACTATGTATAAAAGAATACTGAGAGTGGGAAGATTTCCCCTTCTGAAGGCTTGGTTAGGAAGATGATGTGGGCTATTGCTTTAAGCTTTACCTCTACCCCTTCCAATCACAAATACTTGCAAAAGGCAAGTATTTATAACATTGACCAGAATTTTTTTTAAAGGACATGCTATAAAGTAGGGGGAAAAAAGTAGTACTATTGACCTAAATAGATCAGATACTCCCTCGGTAAGGTAGCAGAACCTAGAAGCCTATGGAGAGTTCAGGGCACAAAATAGGCATAAGAGGTCTGGAGGATGAAGGAATAAAAATATTTCACTCCCAGGGAAGTTCCCTATATAGCTCAGCTGGGGAAAATGGGGCTTAAGTTTCTACTTGCCTAGAACAAACCCCAAACCCAAACCTACTGCCATGAAGTTGATTCAACTCATAGTAACTCAATAGAATGAGCAGAACTGCTCTGTAGGGTTTTAAGACTGTAACTTTTTACTGAAGTTGAACATATCATCATTTTCCTCTATATTGCCAACATTATCAGCAAGGTTAGACACCAAGTGCTTTAACAACTACATCACCATGTCTCCTTTCTTGTTTGGGAAGGAAGTATATTAAAAAAATCTTCACCTTCTTGCTTGGGGTGGTCTAGGATGATAGAACAGTGTGCCCAGTAGGACCCAGTTCATATTGCATCAATGACTCGATCTGTATTACCCTTTCAATCACAATGGACAAAAGGCATTGTACTTGAGTCTCTTAAAGTCAGATAGTGATAACTCCAAAATATCCAAGGAGAGGCAGGAAGAAAAAGAAAAGTTCAAGTTCTTTTAATCTTGGAAACATCAGATTTAGGAAATAAATATAATTCAAACAATCCACCCTGAATCGCCTACTTTTCTTCATGTCTTATATTAGTAATCTGCGTTACGCAGATGACACAATCCTGCTTGCTGGAACTGAGGAGGGCCTGAAGCGCTTGCTGCAGAAGGTCAAGGAATGCATCCTTCAATATGGATTGAAGCTCAATATCAAGAAAACAAAGATTCTCACCACTGGGTCAAATTGGCAGAATCATGATAGATGGTGAAGATATTGAGATTGTTCACAGCTTTAGTTTACTTGGCTCCACAGTCAACCCTCTTTGTACTAGCAGCCAGCAAGTTAAAATATGTTTTGTGGTGGGAAAGTCTGCTGTCAGAGACCTCTCCCAAGTACTGAAGAGCAATGATGTCAGTCTGGAGACTACGGTGCACTTGAAACAGGCCATGATCTTTGCAATCACTTGCTATGTTTCAGAGAGCTGGACAATGACTAGGGATGAAAGAAGGAGAATTTATGCCTTTGAGCTGTGGTGTTGGAAAAGACTATTGAATATACCATGAACTACTAAGAGAACAAACAGGTCATCCTGGAGAGGTTTAACCAGGCTGTTCCTTGGAGGCAAGGATTCTGAAGCTTTATCTGACATACTCTGGACATGCTGCAAGGCGGGATCAGTCCTTGGAGAGGGATGTCATGCTTGGGCGAGTGGAGAGGGACAGCACAGGAGAGGAAACCCCTCAATGAGATGGATTGATTCAGTGACAGGGTAGTGGAGGTAGGTGTGTCGGAGACAGTGAGATTGGCACAGGATAGAGCAGGGGTTAGGGCTGTTGTATATAGGGTTGCTATGAATCGCAGGCAACTCGATGGTACACAACAACAACAACAACATAGAGGATATTAGTTTTTTGTACCAGATTATTTTAACTATTTTTCTAGACTATATTTATTATTATCCTAGATGATATTGTCAAGGATATAGGACCCAAGCTTGAAAGATGAAGATTGTGTCTTCAGGGCAGAGGAGGTTTTATTTGCTATCCAGGATAAAAAGATAAATCTTTGGAACAATGTTTGGAACCATTTTAGTAGTATCTTTAAAAGGTTGGACTTAATCAAACTCTGGTTTCCCATATGTGAGGAAAATTCACTGTGTTTACAGCATATACCTAGAACGTTCTGCTTCACCCTTGAGATCTAGAATGGATGGGAAACAACCAAAGCGAGCACAGTATTCACACTGCTGGCTGAGCTATAAGTAATAGAGTTCTGTGTCTCTGGTCTACGAGTCTCATGACTTTTTTTTAAAATTTATTTTGAAAATTTTACACAAAGTTGGTACCCTTTGATTTCGGTGTTAAATTTTTTTTTTTTTACTTTGTCTTTGATAGATGCTTTTCATTTGTTTTGTTTTTAGATAGATGAGGTTGTGAGGGGTCGTGCCTGAATACCAAACTACATTCACACAAAGTTAATAAACTAAGGATATTTATGTCCCATGATATCTACTCACTGTGTCATTCTCTTTTTTTAAATTTTAATTTATTCCTCTCATATATTTATATGTTTCTATTTAGTCACTGCCTGTATACTAACTCTGACTCCCAGAAGAGTGTAAATTCACATGCTATTGTTGTTATGTGCCATTGAGTCACCTGCAACTCATAGCAACCCTATGAACAACAGCTCTGAAGCCTGGCTTGTCCTAAGCCAATATCACAGTCATTAGGCCACTTACTCATGTGAATAAAGTAGGGATTTGGGATGAGTAGTTGGTTTCTACTAAGTCCCTGCATGAGTGGAAACCTAGAGGCATAGTAGGTTATGTGTTGGACTGTTAACCAAAAGGTTGTCAGTTCAAATCCCTAGAAGTAGCATGAAGCAGTTTGCTCTAATTAAAATTTATAACCTCAGAAATTTGATGGAGGATCACCAAGAATAAGAAGTGATATGATGAGGGGTTTAGTTTAAATATCTGCATGGTACAGACAGTTAAATACTGGATTATTAGTTGAAAGGATGGTGTTTGAATTCACCCAGACATTCTTTGGAAGATGGGCTTGGCAATCAGCTTCCAAAATCTCAGTCTTGAGAACCTTTTAGAGTAGTTTTATTCTGTGCACAGGGGGTGATCTGAGTTAGAATTCACAAGTTGGCAACTAACAAGAAGTCATTCATTAACTGGAGTCTGCACAAGTTCTTATCCGTGGAAATGGGGTATAAACAAAACTTTTCCTAAAAGTTTAAATTACATAAATCAAAAGTTTTGAAATACCTGTGAAATTACATAAGGTAGTATAAATAAGGCCCTAGGGATATTTGGTGGCCTAGTGGTAAGGAGTTTTGCTGTCAACACAAAGGCATGCGCTTAAACTCTGAGAAAGATGGGCAATCTCCTTCTCTCTGATTTATTGTCTCTGAAAACCACTGGAGGGTCAGCTATGAGTCAGTTCCACCTTGACAATATATAACAAAAACATAACAGTGTTTAGAGCAAACTAGGTTTTAAATAAATAGTAATTAAATTCATAAACGCATAGCAGGGGAAAAAATAATTGTATTTCTGGGTCTTGCCTTTTAAGCCAAATGTTCTTTTCTACTTATTCTCCCAACTCTCTAAAGTAGTGTCTCACGAGATGAAACTAAAGAGATTCTCAAGAATAATTTTAAATAACAAGACTTTTCTTTCCTTCAAAAACACAATCTATAGAAATTTATCATAAGGAAAAAATCAGATTATCTACAACTGTGTTTAAGACAGAGTTACTAATTAGCATATAAACAATCACTTACAGTCTAAATATAAAATAATAGGGTTTATTTAAATCAGTCATTGAAGAGTTATGTAAAGGAATAATCCTTAGCCATTTAAAAATTGCAGTTGCGTAACATATTGACTATTAAGTGAAAGAATGTAGGTTCCTGGACACATACAACTATGATTCCAAATTTGTTTTAAAATGTATATCTACATAAAAAAATACTATAAGGCTTTAGATTAATCTTTTATACCTTATTAGTTTTACGATGTTGACTTCTCTGTATTTTAAAATGTTCTAAAATAAACATCTATAATTCTTAAAACATTAAATATAATAAAATTATATAAAAGAATGTTTTTAAAACACATATATGAATATAGAGAAATAAATTAAAGGTACTTTGAATAAATTCAATCAAAGAAAATTATTCTAATAACTACTAGAATTTTAAAAGTCTTCCAAGTTTTATGTTAATTTTTAAATACTAGAACAGAAAGCACAAGGAAATATATACCAAAGCTAATCATCTATTGACATTTGTGCTCTTTGTTATGATGAAACTGTTTTAAAAATTATTACTTTAATCTAAAATATTGCCAGTAGTTTTACCAAAATCAAGATTCAACTCAACATGTGACAGTTTTCATGAAAATATCCATCTCACCTCAACCCACACCATGAAGTGTAATTAAATTTTTCACCTTACCCACCAATACACTATCAAATTGCTGAGTTTTAAAATAATCTTTGGATCTTTGGAGAAAAAAATAATATTGGGTTACCTGGCTCTTTCTGTGCTTCCCAAGCGTTGATGAATGTCAATGAAGTCCATGAGTTGTTTTTGTAACATCACATCTTTGCCCTCAATCTGGGTAATGAATTTATGCTGTAAAAGATCTGACACTGTTGGACGATTTTCATAATCCTTAGTCAAGCACCTGCACTGACAACAACAACAACAAAAAGAGTATATATATAATTATTAGGTAAAGTTACAGAATTTTGAAACTATTATTCCTCTTTTTTTAAAAAAACTCCAAAACAAAAAAACTTGTTCTAATTCTAGAGAGTTGTATTCCACACAAATTTTCAGCAGAGAAGCACATCTCAGAAAACAAACAAACAAACAAAAACCCCACTCTCAAGAGTTCAATATGGTGAAATGAATGCTGTGGAAGTATACACATCTGTGAGTGATTAGACTGTGGTAAAACTAACTTTCAAGTAAACACCACTTCCCCTGTCTCCAAGTGAGTATTACTGCAAGTGATAATTACATTCTGTCTCCACTGCAAAGTCTCTTCTGCAAGTCTGTAACTAAAGAGAAGCAACAACAGAGTTGTCATTTCAATGCTTATCTAAAATAAAAACAAAATTTTGAGTTTCTCTTCATGTGACTCTTTTAAGGCCTTCTCAGTTGACCTATTTCTTCCTACTTGATATAAGTGCTAAGTTTGAGAAGGTCTGTTTAAATTCTGAGTCAGAGAGTATTCTGTGAGATCATTTATATGTCAGTGCACAAAGCAATTAGAGCATATCCTAAGAAAGGACAAGGCTGGTGGGAGCATCTGAAACATAGGAGGGAGAGAGCATTGAAATAACTTTTAAGATGATTAACCAGTCGTGACAGAGGGCTTCAAATATTTCAAAATGGGATGAGATTAGTTCTTAGTGATCACAAAAAAAAAAAAAAATCAAACCCCTAATCGAACAACAAAATCCAAACCACAGTCATTGAGTTGCTCCTAATTTATATCTATCCTAGGACCTTGACTCATTGCTGTTGAGTTAACCCTCCAAGTGGGTTTTCAAAGCCTGTAAATCACACAGGCTTTCTCTTGAGGAGAAGCTGGTAGATTTGAACTGAGAGAGGTATTTAGAATAGGAATTCTCTATAGACCACATTACCAGAGTTTCCCAGACCCTGTGATGAGAATTATGAGAGAAAAAGATTTCAAGCAAATATAAGGAAAAATTTAACAACAGAGAGGCATACTGAAAGGAGGAGTAGGCCTCATCGGTAAGTATAATTACTGGTACCAGTAATAGTTTTTAGCATGGTTTAGATGACAACTCCGTGAGCATATCTGAGAAGTATTTAAACCTTGCATATGCATTTGGGTTTAGTAATTCTCAAACACCTTTTTAATTCCGAGATTCTAAAATCCGATGATTATAAGAAACTGATCAGAGTTGAGCTGTCTGCAAATATCAAAGCAAAGTAAATGAGGCCAGTATTAAAAATGGTATCACCTTAGTGAAAAATGAACTTAGTCGTACTCAATGATAAAATTTTGGCCTGGCAGACAGGTGAAAACTAAAGAAAGCAGTTTATCGATCCTTGCTGGATTTTCATAGGCTCTTTAAACTAAGTCTTGTTTCTTGATACAAATAAGCAGATAGATATTTTGAGTATGGAAACCAAATACTGTAATGTGCATGAGCGCTGCTGATCCTTTCTCTTTCTTTGCCCTTTCTCCCCTTTATTTCTACATTTTCCTGAGTGGAGTGTGGCACTTCAAAACTTCCTTCTTCCATTTACAATCTGGAATCATCCCTTATCTTATTTGCTTAAGGTGAAGAGAAAGATTGTGACTAAAGTGTTACATAGTACAGTTATTTCAGATATGTTTGAGTCTTAGCTTAGAAGAAATTCTCTGGAGGCCTCTGCTTATGTTAAATAGTTGTCAAATTGAGAATGTCACCTAATTTCAAATATGTAAGCATTCTATTATGGTGACTTGATTCACTGATTATAATTTATGGTAATAAAAATTTGTGATGTAGGTAAAAGAAAGATTAAAAACTCAGGATAAACAGATCATGGTTAAATCAGTAGCTGCAAAACAGGTGGAGAGAGCACAAAATGACAGGGGTACAAAAGTTTTTGTGTTCAATTGTTGTGGAGTTGATTTCAGTGTTCCAGGGTAGAACGATGCTCATTAAGGTGATCCATGGCTGCCTGTACTTGGGAGATAGATCATCAGACTTTATTCCGAGGTACTGCTGAAAGGACTCTACCCTCTAACCTCTCTGCTAACGGTCACATACTTGCAAGTGATGCAAACATGACTTGGGCTCCACCCAGAAGCACATGCCTCACAAATGAACAGACATAGCCCTAAAATCATGCGAGCTATGGTGAATTCCCTGAGCATTTCAAAGTAAATATAAATACTTACATTGGAGAAAATTATGATAACTACTCAGGCTTTTTTAGCAAAGAAGTAACAACACAAATTCAAACTTAGGAAAATATTATAAAATCCATGTTTCAAGATAAAGGTAGTCCCCAAATTTACAAATGAGCTCTGTACCTAACTGAGTCTTTAGTTCAAATTTGTAGGTAACTCAGAACAAGTGCCTACAGTTCTTGGTCCAATTTTAGGGCAAGAACAGGCTCAAAGCCTTTCCAATGACTGAATGTATAGGGGAGAGAAAGAATTTATAGTGAGTAGGGGCTGGCTGTATTCTTTCAAAGTATGGCCAATTTACATAACATGAGAGGGTAAGTAGTAGCAGGTAGAAGCTGTCTGTAAGGCAGAGGCTGGTAACTTGTGGATTGCCTGTAAAAGGCATATGGTACTTTGATTTTTTAAAAAGACTTCATTATTAACGCATGTAAGAATTCTAGACATCCTAATCTACAACATCAACAGTCTTTCAAGCATCTTGAAAAATCTACAATCAGGAGAGGATAAAATAGATGAATGGGACCTTTTTAAGGATCAAATCCCTATGCACATCCAGAAACTTCTCCAACATGGTAAAAAGGGAAGGCCCCGGCTTGGGAAAAGTTTTTTGTTATTGCCTTTTCGGTTAGGGACTTTTTTTTTGTATTTTTTAAATTCTTGGGGCACCACAACAGATAAAGGTAAACAACCCAATTGAAAAATGGGCACAGGATATGAACAGACACTTCACCATAAAAGACATTCAGATGGCCAACACACACATGTTCAAAATCCCTAGCTCTAAGAGATATGCAAATCAAAACAACTATGAGATATTATCTCACCCCAGTCAGAACAGCAAAATTTAATAGAACAGAAAACAACAAATGCTGGTGAGGTTGTGG